ACAATGCCCCTTATGTGTAACCTTGACATCACTTTTCTGGAAGCAATAGGCATTTTACTTGTTTTCTATTTGCCTAAGTTTTCCTGTTGGAAAAAACGGGTTTCAACTATTTGCCTTCTTCACATAAATATAGTCAACTAGAAGAGTACTTTAAAAATGATCTAAAAATAGCTGGGTGTGCTGGTGCCCAGCAAGTCAGGAGATGGAGGAAGGAGGTTTACAAGTTCAAGGCTAGGTGGGGCAATGTGGTGAGACCCTGTCTCAAAACAAAAAAATAAAAAAATAAATAAATAAGGCTGAAGCTAGAGCTCAGGGGTAGAACAACCCTCAGTTCCACACCCAGTACCACAGATAACAATAACTAAATAGATAAATAAATAAAATGTTCTGAAAAGACCAGGTACAAGTTGCTATATAATTATCACCTACTTCACACATTAATGCTGGCTTAGAAAGGATGTAATTTTAAACTAATCATATAAACAAACTGAAACATCATTCAAGCATTTATTCATTTATAACTTTCCTTCATTTAAGTATTTACTTAAGAATGAGCCAACACTGTAAAAACTAAAGCCATGGGCTCAGATGACAATGAAGGGGGAGGAGCATGAGGAGCCATGTTTGGAGGGAGGTCCTGCGAGGGAGACCTGCTCTCACGCTGCGTAGCGCATACACTCTGGTTCTCTGTGTAAAGACTGAGGAACTGGCTTTTATGAACCAAGTCCTTGGGTCCTGCCTTTTTAGCCACTGTCTCTGAGCACTGCCTATACCAGCCCATATATCCCCTGGGGACGTCCTCTTCTCCCCATCCCCTGGATAAAGAGCATAGACATGCGCAGACATACTTTCATCAGAAAACTGTAGGAGATGGACAACAGATAGGTCAGATGTTAAATCATGTTCCTCGACTAGGTTTGTACAAAATCAAAATCCCAGGTAATGATATCCACAGACATCATTATAGATCTCAGATTAAACGGTTACTTCCTTTTAAATGACAGATTTATTGAGATATAATTCACATACAATATGACTCACTCCTTTGAAAGTGCACCCTCAGTGGTTTTCAGTACACTCACAGAGGTGTGTAACCACCACCATGACCAATTCTAGAACATTTTCATCACCTCAAAATGCAAGCTTTTAACCTATAACATTCACCCCCATTTTCCCCAACCCACCCCCTCCCAAGTCCCCAGCAATCCTAATTGACTTTCCATCTCTATAGATTCGCCTATCCTGGACATTTCATTCAAATGGACTCACGTAATATGTGGTCTTTTGTGACTAGCTTCTTTCATTTAGCATAATGTTTTCCAGGTTCATCTGTCACAATGTGTCAGAATTTCCTTTCCCCTTATTGCTGAATAGTGTTCCATTGTTCACACACACCCATGTTGTTTATCCATTCATCTGTTGATGGATTCATAGCTCACAGCTCTGGAGGCTGGGAAGGCCAAAGCCAAGGAGCAGCATCTGGTGTTTGATGGAGGCCTTCTCGCTGCACCTTCTCAAGGGGAGCCACATGGTGGCCTCACATGGCAGAAGGCAGAGGGCAGAAAAGGAATGTGCTCTGTCAATGCCCTCCATAATATAAGGACACTTACTTCTGCTCTTGAGGGCAGGTGTCCCCATAACCTAATTGCCTTCTAAAGGCCTCACCTTTAACTGTTACGTTTGTAGCACCTGATTTTGGGAGGAGACACATTCCAAACACAGCAGGGTTGATTCAGATTTTTGGCTGTTATATATCATGCCACTATGAACATCAGTATATAAGTTCTTGTGTGGATGTAGGTTTTCAACAGAAGTGCTGGGTCTCATGGTAACTGTATGTTTAACATTTTCAAGAAATATCAAACTGTTTTCCAAGGTGGCCATACCACTTTATAGTTGCACCAAGAGTTCAAGAGACTCAAACAGGTATCTACATCCTGGCCAACAAATGTTATTGTCCATTTTTTTTTTTTTTTTTTGGTGAGAGCCATTTTAGTGGATGTAAAATAATACCTGTTGTGGTATTGATTTGTATTTCCCTGATGGCTACTGATGTTGGGTATCTTTTTGTGTGCCTATTAGCCATTTGTTTCATATTTTATTTTGAAGAATGTCTATTCAGACCTCGTGTCTTTATTTTAATTAGATTATTTGTCTTTCTTAAAAATTACTGAGTTGTGCTGGACATGGTGGCACACTCCTGTAATCCCAGAGACTTAAAAGAATTGCATGTGCAAGGTCAGCCTCAGCCAGCCTCAGCAACTTAGGGAGACCCTGTCTCAAAAAATAAAAAAATAAAAAGGGCTGGGGATGTTGCTCAGTAGTAAACACCTCTAGGTTCAATCACCAATGCCAAAAAGAAAAAAAGAAAGAAAGAAAGAAAGAAAGAAAGAAAAAATTACTGAGTTGTAAGAGATCTTCATATATTCTAAACAGACAGTCCCTTGTGAGACATGATTTACAAATATTTTCTCCCTTTCTGTGGGCTGTCTTTTTGCTTTCCTGATGGTGTCCTTTATAGCACAAAGTTTTTAATTTTGATGAAGTCCAGCACAGCTATTGTTTTGTCTTGTTGCATGTGTTTTTGGTGTCAGATCCCTTCTTTTTGTAACTCATTAGGGGTTGGGTCCCTGCATAAGGTCATTCTTGACTCACAAAGCCATTTCCTACCCATTTTCCACTCTCCAAGACCAAAGTTTTATCTCTCCCTTGACCTCAACAGAAGAGCACTCAAGACATCTGGTAAGAAGCATCCTGAGCTGTGGAGTCCAGCCAGTCCTTTGACTATTGTGGACATGACTTCAAACTTCACAATAAACAAGCAAAGAAATCTTGCCTGAATCACCTTAAACCCTGAAGAAGACTTGGTTTCTTCATTTTGAAACATTATGAAAACTACAGAAAATAATTCATGTAAAGTCACATTATAAGAAGAAATGTGTTATGGTTTGGATATGTGGTAGCCTCTAAAAGCTCCTGTGTTCATGTATGAGTGTTCAGAGGTGAGATTTTTGGACTGTGAGTGCTGTAACCTAAGCAGTCCATCCCAGTTTGAATGGACTGAGAGGTAACTAGGGGCAGATGGGGTATGGCTGGAGGAGGTGGGTCACTGGAGTGTGCCCTGGGAGGGTTCATCTTCCCTGTGGCCCCTTTCTACTTTGCTCTTTCTCTCCTTCTCTGTTTCCTGGCCACCTTGAGCTGAACAGTATTCTTGGCCATGCCCTCTCCCTCACCTTGGGCCAAGAGCCATGGAGTCTGACCATGGACTGAACCTCTGAAACCACAAGTCCCCCCAAATATTTCCTCCTTTAGGTTGGTCTTGTCTGGTATTTTGGTCACAGCAATGAAAAGCTAACAGAAAATGTTTGCTACTCCTATAACATTGCTGTTTCTGGTTCTTTCTTTCTTTTCTTTTTCTTTTTTGCAATAAACCCGGTTTCTGCAGCTCCAGTTTTGGTTGCTGCCTCTTCTGTCTTTGCTCAGGAACCCTGGCTCCACTCAATGTGCCTTGAGTTATTGTGATATCCTGTTTTGCGTCTTTCCCTTCTCACCTAGTAGAGCAATTCTCCCACTCCTTTACGTATTGACACCCTCACCTCTGAGTCTAGCCCTTCATTCAGATTCTACCCTCCAAATGTGTTTTATCTGGCCTGTCTGGTCCCATGGGCACTAGGAAGCATTCTCCTCCTTAGCTTTGCACTCCTTCTGCCCCAGGTACAGTCCCCATCCCTGCCACAGTTCCTTCCGAATGGGGTAGAAAATAGCCGAATGGGTTAAGTATAATCTTCTGCAGAGACCCAATACCTAAGGACCTTCAAAATGCAGGCATATAACACCAAAACATACCCAACAAAAGAAAAAACAGCTATTTTGGATTTTATCAAAATTAAAAACTTGGTTTCAGTCCCCAGTATCACCCCCCAACACACACCCCCCCCCCCAACACACACACACAAAGAAAATTAAAAACTTTTGTGCTATAAAGGACACCATCAAGACATTAAAAATCAACCTACAGATTGGGAGGAAATGTCAACAAATAATCTCTCTTATAAAAAACTATCTTTTCTAGAATACACAAAGAACTCATATATCAGTTTTCAGCGTGCCTATTTAAGGCTTTCACCACTTATACCTGCTTCTCTCTCCTTCTTGTCTATCTTCCCTTCTCCTGCCACTCTCTTGGACTTTCTGCAGTTTCTTAAATATACCAGATGCTCACATTGGGGCCCCTCGTTGATGTTCCCTCTTTCTGTACTCTTCTTCCCCAACATACCTTCTTGGCTAATTGCCTCAACTACTTCAAGTCTCTGCTTAGACCTCCCTTTGCAATCAAGCTACCCTCATTCCCCAATTGAAAACTGTAACTTGCTGTAACCTATCCCCCTAATTGCCTTTATCTGCTTCAAATTCTTTTTTTCCATAGCAATTATCATCTACTATCTCTCTGCACACTTTTCTTCTTTATTTTTAAATATTTTTAAAAACCCTACCTATTAGGATACAAGCTCCATATGGGCGGGGATCTTTGCCATGTTATCTGCTAGTATATACCAAGGACCTAGAGCCACGCCTCTGAGCTGCTTGGCTAACATCTACTGAAACAGTGGTGGGTGATTTGCATCTCTGTGATTGCTAAGGAGGATGAACGTTTTCAAGTGATTACTAGCTATATGTTTCCTCTTTTGTGTTCCCTGCTCACTCCTTTGTCCATTTGTCCAAATTTTCTTTGTGATTCGTTTGTAGGAATTCCAGAGAATTTCATGCCACTGCTGCTTTGTCAGTATGCCTCTTCATTTGATTTGTAAGCAATCCATGCACAGCATGTGGTAGGCACTGAGAATCCAGTGGTGAATGTTGAGACCAGGAGTCACATGCACTCTGCAAATGTCTGTGGGCCAGTGTCAGTGTGCATTCACATTTAGAAGGAAACAAGAGAAATGTCTTTGAAAACAGGATTTAATTAAATAATTATGAGAATAAGAAATTGCCAGACTCACCCTGGCAAGCAGTCCCCGCAGATGGCATCGCTGGTGACTGAACAATTGGCCTTCTGAAAGCGGTTCACCAGTGCACAGTCCAGACAAGGCTTGCATTTCTGGAAGCCCCAGTCTTCCTTGAACCTGTGCGGCCGGCATGTCACACACTGTGCATCCTCCCCATAGCCGAAGCCACATTCCTGCAGGGATTAACAGGCAATAGAAAGCTATTCAGACTTTGCAAGCGTGAAAAAGCAAAGACCGCTGGGATAAAATGAAGACCTGGTCTAATAATTACCAAGTGTCGCCCTTCCTCTATACAAAAGCAGCCCTTTCAGCAAGTTCAAATGTGTCTTCCACTGCTAATAATCTCTCTTACTGCGGTAAGTATACTTAGTCATCCACTTTATTCAAGAAGCCATGAGCAAGTGAATAAGAAAAGGTCTCCCAGACTCCTACTGTGGCATTATTGTTAGCTTATGGCAGAATTATGGCACTTTCTTCTTTTCTAATTAAACCAGTCATGTGAATGTCCAAAGCTGAAACCAGTGAAATGTTCAGACACTTACTCACTTATCAAGGCAGAAAGTAAGTACATCAAAATCAAGGGTGATAGTTTAGAAAATGAAGACAACTGCCTGAAAGATTTCAAAAGCTTAGGAGCCTAGAAAGCTATCCAGCAGAAACCTCTTTGAAATGCTTAGCAGCTTAATATTTTCTGAAAGTTGAAAGATTTTTACACATTTGTTAAAACAACATGAAATTTCTGTTCAGACAAAACTCTGTGGGACTAAAGGTCTCAAGCTTCTCCAGATGTGGACATCAGAACACAGAGCTGTTTCCCAAGGATAGCAAAACAAATGTCTCTTTGACCCACAGATGATCATTTCCACAGGTTCAAGAGTGAAATAAATTATAGTAGGGCATAAAACATGATTACACAGCAGTCATAAAAACAATGCAGATGTGTTTAAAAAATGTTATAACATGGAATTAGAAGTATGATCCCATTGACTACAAACACAATAACCCTACTCCCATGTTTCTTTTGTAGAATTGTTTCCTAAAGAAAACCACTCCTTGACTGTTGCCCTGTCAGGTTTGTGGGCACTCTGTAACCTCTGGGGTCATGGCAATCCAATATTCCTAACAATTATGCTAATGTGCTATGAAAGGTGGAAAATTTGAGGATGCAGTGTAGATGATATTAAATTGGGAATTGGTTGGACTCATGTCTCAGTTTATTAACTATTCAAAGATACTGGTCCTTGATCATCTCCTAAGGAAAATTCACCACCAAATTTCAACCTGGAAAGTCACTGGAACTGTTGAAAAAGGAATCGTATTTCATAGCTTTCTAGATTTTTAGTAGTCACATTAAGAATTGCATGCAAATTAAAATATCTGTTTATTGATTCTCAATCCAACTCATAAAATCTCAATTATGAGAAGAAAAACAACTCCTGGCATTTAATCAGTGTTCACTCCAGGCCAAGAACTTTATACATGCTATCTCAATAAGCAGCCATGACGACAGCCATGAGGGACACTGTCATTATGCCCATTGCACTGAGAGAGAGATGCAGCTTTGCAGAAGTGACATACCTTAAGTAAGGTATCAGGACCAGGATTGGAACCTACACAATTCAATGCTAGTCAGGCTTCATAACTGCTGCACTCTGGGGCCTGCTGGGTACTTTATGTATAGGCATTACATATACATAGGAAGATGTCTGAAAGGTGACATTCTTGTACTTTGTGATGTGCATTAAATGAAAATAGGCATCAGCTTGACAGCTGCATGAAGAATGCCTTTGCAGAGAGGGGCTGGGTCAGGCCATGAATGTTAGCTACATGAAACAGAGGGAGCAGGGCTCAGATGAAATCTCTAAGAGACTCAGTTTCCTCATTCGTAAACCCTGGATGCTCAAATGTAAGTTCCAACTAGTTCAAAATACCTATTCTTCTATAGAATTTATATATTTTTAATTTCTCCATTCATTTGTGTTTGTATGCAAAACCAATTAAGCAATACTAGCTGATCAAAAATTAAAATCAAAATCAACTAAGAGGATAGTACTCCTTGTAATCAGTAAACCACTCAGTAAAGGAACCTGAGTATTCACTTTAGTCTAGGGTTTTTCACTACTTAACTCATTCACATTTTGGAAGAGCGATATCTTTTCTCCTCCTCTCAGTTACTCTGCCTGTCTTTCAAAGAAATACACATCTCGACCATGTACCACAAAGAGTCAGGGAGGAAAACAAGTGAAGGGTCTCTTAATCCTGAGTGCTCCAGCTACACAAAGTTTTAAAGCAAAGGCACAGACAGGAGAGAGAGAAAAAGCAACATGATTTGAAGAACTAACCCACAAATTAGAATTTCTTTAAAATTGTTAAGAGATTATCGCTGTTGGCCATAGGTGGAATTATAATTTTTCATCATTCTGTAATAATTCATTGTTTGCAAAAACATCCATCATTCTTAAAATGAAGAAAATGATAGAGGTATTTATTCAAAAAGAATTTCTTTGGACCTATGCTAGGCCTTAGCGGGGAGGTCATTGTGAACGGCTTTGGTGCTTTGTACTGGGCATTGTGGCTCTGTGCTGGGACAGATGTGTGTTTTTGCTGAGCACTTTTGTTGCTGAGAGAGCTGTGAGCATGCGAAGGCTTTCTGTAAGTATAGAAGACAGCCTCCCACACACAGTCTCTGGGATCAAAGCACAGTGCACGTGACATGTGGGGGGGCGCGCATTGTTCACATGCTAGGCATCCCCATGGCAGAGGCTCTGGTAAGAGCAGAGGGTTTCAAAATCATGCTTTGATCCTGGCAGCCTGGATGGCAAGATAATCATGTACAGGTTACAGCACAACAAAGAAGGAAACGCAAAAAGGAAGGGAAGTAGAAGAAGAGGAAATAAAGAGAAAGAGAAATGAGATCTCAGAAAAAGAGATACATTCACAAAGTATGAATTTTTTTTTTAAGTCAGGTTGATATAGGAGAAAAAACTATGTTTCCTACATTAGATCCAAAGATTTGTGAGTTTGCATGCAACTGCCACTGCTGGCTAAGTTACTCTGAGAACTCTCTGATCCTCAGGTTCTTCATGGAACCTGTGAGATGGAGATAATACCTGCCCTGTGGGGTTGTTTTGAAAAATGAACGTGAAAACATATAAACTCTACATCAAGCACAGAGTGGGTATCATTAAATAAATTATACCTATGGCTATTATTATTTTGGATTTTCTACAAACCAATAAAGCAACTTTACTGATTCAAGTATAATAAAGCTTCATTAGGGAACCCGGGGAACTTCTGACCTCATTTTTTTTTTTTTTTTTTTTTTGGCGGGGGTACTTGAAACATACCACTTTCCATCTAAAATACTTTAATTGAATAAAAATAATTTTAAAATGAGTTGCAATTTCCTTTTGTTTCTCTCTCTTTCCCTCCCTCCCTCCCTCCCTCCCTTCCTCCCTCCCTCCCTCCCTCCCTCCCTTCCTCCCTTCCTTCCTTCCAGTACTGCATATGGAACCCAGGGTCTTACTCAATAGAAAAGTGGTCAACCACTGAGCTACATCCCCAGCCTTTTATTTTTTATTTTGAGACAGGATCTCACTAAGTTGCCCAGGCTGGCCTTGAATTTGCAATCCTCCTGCCTCAACAAATCCAAAATTTTTAATTAAAACAATATGAATGGTACACAAAATATAGCTGCACTTGACCTCACTGTGTCACCTGCTGTACTGTGCTGTCACACAAAAGACATGGCACCCTACACAGACACTTCTGCCGGCTTAATCCCTGCCAGGCAGGGCACTTTCACTCTTGGCTCCTACTGAGTGACCATCTCCAACAATGCACTTTTTCGCTTCATGAGGAACTAGAGAAGTGATCCAACTAGACACGAATTGAAAACAAATATCAATAGGAGTTTTGATGGTCTCATTTTTTATGGAACAAAAATGAAAAACAACAAAAGTTTTATTGTAGGGAAAGCCTTTGTGTTTATTTTTGGATCCCTGAATATATCCTAGAATTTTATTGTATATAAGGAACGCTTGCACCCATGTGTTTTTGTTATACAATGTTCTGTGTCAATCACATGTCATTATATTTGGTAGAATGAACATCTCGTGAAATTTTTTTCGCCCATTCTACACTGGACTAAATCATATATAGAAATCAAAGTCAGGCTCCACACATTTCATATTTTTGCTTTCATTATCTGGATATCAACTTACTATGTCTACTTAGAGTTTATGTGTTTTTCTGTCAACAGTAGTAAATTTCACTAGGGTGGGTTTAGATAAGGAGTTGAGATAAAGCTGGCATCCAGTACTAGATGCAAAATACAAACATTGATTGAGCATAAATCATATACTTTCCTGAATGCTGGTATAGAGATGGCTTATTTGAGAGAATTTTATTTAAAATATTTTTCTCTGAAGTATTTGCCATTTTCAAAAAGATAATATTAGAAAATCAGAATCTTCTTATTTTTAAACTTATAGAACTAGCTTACAGTTAGTTCCTGATAGTCTAAGAAATACATGAAGAGACCATGCTACTGGAAAGCTTGAATCAAGAAATTCAGAGAAGTTTTGTTTCCAAGGAATTAAAGTATAGTACAGTGTCCATAGCAGCAATCACTTTTTGAGTTGACTGTCATAATTCTAAAGCACCATAAACAGAGACCCTGTAATTATTTGTAATCCAGGCTATAAAGTAAACAGCATATAAATATTAAATTACCCTCAATATAAACGTCTGCTTTGATGTTTTTATTTCAGCCAGTAAAACCAGGTGGTTAAAATGCCTTGAAATCTTCCACAGTAAGTCTAATAAATAACCAAGGGAAAAAGAAGTACAGCAGCTGAAAGGGAAACTCAGAAGCTTCCAATCCACCACAATCGCGGCTGGCACAGACTGACTGTGCCTTTGCAAACTTGAGTTGTCTCCCTGGCTAGAGATCATTCCTTTTCCTTTTTATTACTTTGTATATTAAAAAGTACCACATGTACTGAGATTTTAAAAAAATCAAACAGTCACCCCTCTTCCCATCCCTAGTTCCTAACTTCCTACCCACTCCACACAGGCAAACACTGGCACCAGTTTGGGGGTAGCCTGCAGAAGTATCCTATGTGTGCACACACGTGCACATCTACCACACTGTTTTGCAGCTCATTTGTTT